CTAGAAATTTAATAACGTACTTGGAGAAAATAAACAGGAGATTCTCACCTTACTCCAAAATAATTATAAATATATTAAAGGATTAACTTTATAAAAATGTAAACTTTCAGGAGAATGTCTATATCGTTTTTAAAAAAATATTTATTTATTTATGCATAAAGAACTGGAGTACAAGTCAGAGCTTCAGGGGCCATGAGAGGATTCACCAGAGACAGAGCGGGTAGCAGAATAGGCAGATCGATGAATTACACTGCTGAGGGGAGCAGCTGGCTGGTCAGGAGAGGTCATGTGGGTCACCTCCCAGGTGGGGATCAAACTCGCCCTGAAGTAGCTGTGGCTAGCTTGCAGTGCTGTGTCCTAACCCATTGCGCCACCAGACAGGGCCCAAGAATGTCTATATATTGAAGCAATGTAAGAAACTACAAAAAAATTAATATGCTTGACTGCATATCAACATGACATTAAAAATTGACAAATGTTTTAAGGCAGCAAAAATCGCTGAAAAATAATTATTGTCTTATACATCATAGTCATCAGTAGTAAATACATGAATGCCACAATATAAATAAAGGAAAGAATAGGCATATTCTTTATAAATGAAAAATAGCTATATGAAATTACATTTATCCTCATTTCTAACCAAAGAAAAAAAATCAAAACAATAATGAACTATTACTACGGCCTATAAAATAATACAATTTAAAAGTCATTTTAAATACCTGTCATTTGCGGGGGGGGGGGATAATTGAAATTCTTTTTTTAAAGCCTTCTGAACTTTTAAGTTTTCTGCAATGAACACTTGTTACTTTTACAATGATAAAATGGCACTTGAACAAATACATGGCTATGTATTTAATCTCTTTTCTCCAAGCATAAGATATGACTAAGAAGAATCCAGGTTTTTAAGTTGATTCTTCTGATTAGATTTCCTAATTCCACTATATTTCAATTAATATAAATACTGTTTTTTCCTTAAAAATAAGAATTAACAAAAGCGGAGACTTTCCCAAGTTAATGACATCCTATGGCAATATTTCACTGCCAGGACACAGCACACTTCACCATGATAAGGGCTGTTTTGTGGAAAATGCTCTGTAAGGTCAACAGCCCCTGTAAGTTTAACTCCATAATTGATCCCTGAGACATTGTCTGAGGTGTTAGGTGAAGTGTTCTGAATTGTTTAGGGTTCAGCGGAAATGGATTGGCCATAGTAAAAGGAAATTTTAAGATAAATAGGTTATCAAGAAGGATATATTTTTCTTTTATGACAAGCACGTAGATTTTATCCATTGATTTCAAAATATTAAAGTTTATATTAGTATAAGCAATTTTTGAGTTTTTGTGAATAAAAAATTCACAAAAAATAAAGTTTGTGAATAGGTTCCTCGAGAGAAGCAGATGTGAGAGTTGTGAAGACTTTGTGTATTCATGATAACCCAATTTTAATATCAATAGGCATCACTTTTTATAGGTGATTTACATATATTATCGGATTAGTCCTTGGAATAACCCTCTGAAGTAGGTTCACTGAATTATTTGTTTTACAAAAGAGGAGGAAATTGCAATACCAAGGAAGCTAAGTATTCTGAGGAAAGGCCATGAGAGGTAGGATTTGAACCCCTAATAAGTATGACTACAACGATGGAATTTGTACCCTGAAAACTGTATTGCCTCTACATTACTCTTCAGTAATCTTCACCTTCCTCCCAACAACTGACTCTGCAGAATATAAAATAAGCTGTTCTCCATGCATCTGTGCTGTTAGGTTGCACAGCAGAAAGAGCTTAAGTTGGCTATTCTAACTTGGATTAAATCTTGTTCCACTATTGTTTCCTAAATTAGTTATTTCTTTGTCTATAAAATGGGGGAAAGTCATACCTCAGAAAGCTGTTATGAAGATTGAGATGCCATATGTGAAAGTGCTTAGAACAGTGCTTGGCAAATAATAGATGTTTAATAAATATTGGTTTCCTTTCTTCCTTCCTTTGCCAGACAAAAGTTATTCTTCCTTATTAAGTCAGTTTGCATGAAAATATTTCCATGGCTCTCATTTTATCACAGAATCCATAGGAACTATGCTCAGTAGTCAAATGACCCGTAGATACAGGGTTTCAGAAATTTGAATTCCCCCATGATTATGCAGGGTTTGCTGTGGGAAGTCAAGAGTGGAACTTCCAATGTTTTAAAATCTCCCTTTTCTGGATCTGGAGAGGCTTTTTTTTATAGTCTTATAGTCTCCGTAACTCATGATTCCCTCTCATTCCTCCTATATACCCTACACCCCCATTCCAAAATACATTTTTGTACAACTGAGCTCTCGCTCAACAGTTTACCTGCCATTTCTCAAAAATGTCTTATCATTTCCTGCTCCCACATTTTTTTTTCTCCTGCAAGTTTCTTTCTCGGAAATAACATCTATCAAAATGTATCCACTGGGACCTCCCTGGTGGCTCAACAAGTTAAAGCACAGCAATAAGACCACTTCAGCACAAGTTCAATCCCCAGCCAGGGATGTGACCCACATGGCACAATAGACCCCTGCTGTATCGCCTTCTGCTGCTCTCAGCAGTGTGCTTCATCAGTCTGCCTGTTCTGCTCCCCATTATCTCTCTGGTGAATACTCTCACTGCCCCTGCTCCTCTGGCCTGTACCCCAGTTCTGTATGCGTAAATACGTAAATCTTTAAAAGAATTTACTACTAAAATATTACCATAAATGCTTAACACAAACGTCTCCTACTTTAGACATCTGCTCTGACCACTCTAGAGAGGGGAGACCCGGACTTCTATCAAGCCATGCATATGACTTAAATGACAGGTTGCAGAGACTTTTGTCCTTGCGCTACAAAGGGACTCAGTGGAATCAAGTTTTAAATGGCATCTGATTAACAATCTATTGAACAGACACTCCCAATTTTTTAACTAAGGCTTCTATGAACCCAGCAAAAAATGAATTCTCATAAATATTCTTGAAACCAAAACCAAAAGATACCCTATTATCAGAGCCAGGAAGGAATGTCTGTCAACATGAAGACCAGAACTGGATTAAGAAATTTTAGAAAACTGCTTTTCACCAAAAATAGGTTAAAATGCTTGGTCTAAAAGTAGAAATACTCTTGAATCTTCGTCAAGTCATTACCTCCTACTCAGAAATATAGAAATCCTGTCAACCGCCACCAATAACCACTAAAATAATAATAAATGAATAAAAGGAGGGAGCAAGCATTTTTCTATCAGATGATAGAAATTATAAGATAGAAATCTATCAGGTGATAGATTCCCATAATCCCCAACACAATGAGTTAAAAGAGTTAAAAGTAATATGAAATAGAAAATATTTTTCAAGAACATGCAAGAATGTATGGCAAGTATGTCAATATTAGTTTTGTGAAAGTCAGATATAATAGTGAGAAAGCATTTAATATTGATAAAATTTGCAATGAAGATACAATTATGTATTTCTTCAAATAGTACAATAGTAGAAATATATGAAGTAAAAACCAAAAGAAATCTAAGGAAAAATAATGAACCAATTTTGGGTTAGAAGACTCATAATCCTATCTCAGGCTTTGACAAAACCAGTAGGAAAAAGTTAGGAAGAAACAGATTGGAGTAATACCTTTAGCAACATATAATAGTAGAAATAAGAAGATATATAAGTAGATACATAGATAATCAAACTACTTGTCAGAAATAATATCTATAAAATATTTAGAAAAATGTATCATCTCAAAGAAAGAATCAGAACATTGCAAACATTAGAAGTCCAGCCATTTTCTGATTCATGTACTGTAACTAGCAATAAATATAGAAAATAACAAACACTTAAATTACCAATTAAATTATAACTACAACTAAAGATCATTTAAAAGTAAACAAAAATTACATTATATCCAAACTACAGAATGGCACCAAAGTTGCAATTAGAGGATGATTTATACAAATAAAGAACTGATATATATTTTGTTTATGACCCTTTTTTGTATGTTCTAATAAAGAAGACCTAGTCACTTAAATATTTCCTGATGTCGTACTCCATAACAGGCATACAAAATACCACTCAAAGGAAGTAATTTTCAGGGTTAAATACGTATCTATTCATGCAATCTTTCGTCACTTTTGTTTTGACCTGTTTTTCTCTGGTGCTTCATGTTCTTGGGATGCCAAGTACTTGGTATTATGCTTTATCACCTAACACATACCTGAGGACCCTTTCAGCTTAACAAATTTTGTGGATAAAACCTCTGACTTTGACCCTCAGTCTTGCATGTACAATTTTATAGTTCCTCCCTGGTTCCACAGAGCTAGTGCTAAAAGGCACTCACACTTTCTACTCCAGACATTAGGGTCTTCGTGAGTTGAAAAACCTCACCTTGCCTCTGATAAAAGGAAGAAAATTTCAGAAGAAATAGAAATTATTACTCAGTGGAGTGGTCCATTTTGTTTGTCACCCAATTAAATAAATGCATGCAAATACATTCATACCTGCTTATACACATTCACTTATAAGTGGAAGACACAAAGGTTAACAAGGGATCACTCAGAAGTTATAAAAATATACTTTTTAACTTTTAAATTCTGTTTTAATAATAATAATCTGAATTGTGTTGTTTTTCCCTCTAAGCTTGTGGGACTCCTACACATACATGCAAATAAAGACGGTTTATGTCACATCTAATTTCTCAATATAATATATTGTTTACTTTTCCTAAATTTTCACTTACTATTATTAGGCAGTTTATTATTTCTATAACATATATATTTATTAATAAGCTGCAGTTCAATTTCTCATCTTGAGTTTTTAACAAGATTGCCAATTTCCTGGAAATAAACTCTGGGTAGTCACTATAATCAACTGTAGTACAATAAGAAAAAGAGACATCTGTGCCTTATATCTGTGAAAGTACGCATTGAGTTGTGTTTATTTAAAGAATCATCAATCAGTATGATCAAAATAATTTATGTGGCGTCTAAACCTAATACCATTTTTGTCCCATGTAGACGAGGGTCCAACGTATCTCTTACACTGGACATGACTAGCTTGGGGAATGTTGAACCATTTGTGGCTATACCAACCCCACGGGAGAAAGTCGCAATGGAGTACCTGCAGTCAGCCAGCCGAATCCTCACAAGGTCACAGCTGAGGGACGTCGTGGCAAGTTCACATTTACTCCAAAGTGAATTCATGGTGAGCCTGCTATTTATGTTTCCTCTTCCATTTGTATTTTGATTTACTAGGAACTAGAGACTCCTACTAAAATGAAACTGTGCTCCATCCCAGCAGCTTATAATAACAAATGACTGCAAGTCATCCGCTTGGGTGATCGGTTTTAGATACACCGTCCCACTATTAATAGTTAAGTAGTCAAAATAGAAGGCAATAAGTAAATTCAGGCAGAGTATGTAGGAGATAGTGAGGCAAAGATGTGTCAAGAAACAAAGAAGTTGGACACAGGAGAGGCATGTCAGGAAGAAGGAGCACCCTTGCTGGCTTTGCTTGGGGCATTAAATTGTTCAGTTTCACTGGGAAGTGGCAACAGTTGAACCCCAGCGGTATAAGCATATTAGCCTTACTATTAGCTGAAGTGTTCAGCTTCATTTGGCATTCTAAAAAGATCACTATCTGTAGGGAAGTTAGCATTAGAGAAGGACATTACAGAGGTTTGGGGAGGTAATTCTGAGGAATTATGCTAGTGGTCTAGAGTAAGAGAGTAACAGTGAAAATAGAACAGGTCTACTGGAATCCATAAGGAGTGGGGATTACTGGGTGAGGCCGACCAAAATAGTGAAGTCAGGGGTGATACCCTAGTTGTTTGCTTTTTTGTTCTTTTGGTTTTTTAATGTTTACTGAAATAAAGTACCCTTTTATTAAATCAAAAACACAGGAAGAAAATCAAGTATGGTTTTAAAATGAGGGTGAATTTTAGCTAAAAATCATGGCCATCCACCACTACTGCTTATGATAGCTGAATACATGCAAACAAATTTCTACCCAGAGATCTGGGAGACAGATTAAACTTTCTTAGGTCTAATTGTTGCCTAAAAGGAATATCCATTTTTTTTTTCTTTTTATTCATCCCAAGATATTTACAACCACCCTAATGGTGGAAGTTCCTGCATGGGTTGATCCATTAGCTTCATCAGTTATTACTGTGTGCAAAGTAAATTACATGCATACCATTGTTTTATTTAGATGGTGTAGAGTGTCGTTTTTTTTTTTCTTTTAATGTGAGGAAAATGAGAGATGTTTCAATATATGAGGAAAATGACAGACAAAAGAAATGGTCAACTATTTGACCTTGATGTTTCAACATATGAGGAAAATAACAAAAGAAATGGTTACACAGTTAGACAAAGGCACAGCTAATTTTTTTCTAAAACTATGGATAGCTCTTTGGTTTTTTGTTTTTGTTTTTGTTTTTGTTTTATTTATTTTTTATTTTTTTTAAAGATTGTTTTATTCGTGCATACAGAACTAGGGTACAGGCCAGAGGCTCAGGGGCAGTGAGAGGCTTCACCAGAGAGAGGGTGGGGAGAGAACAGGCAGATCGACGAAGTACACTGCTGAGGGGAGCAGCGGGTGGTCAGGAGAGGTCTGCCGGGCCATGTGGTTACCTCCGGGGCAGGTGGGAATTGAACTCATGTAGAAGCAGCTTTAGATTCTCAGTGCTGTGTTTTAACCCGCTGCACCAAGGAGGGCCGGATAGCTCTTTGTTTTATGGGATAAACCCTAACCAATCTACTTCCTGTAAGGAGCAATGAGGCCAACAAGAAATTCAAAGAGAAAGATAATGCTGGAAGATGACAAATTATCAGTGTGTGACAGAACAGAAAGGAGCCGAAGAAAACAAAAATATTACCTACTTCATGACTTTCACAGCACAGATTGATCCATTTGAAATTACCAACCATGAATACATGGTTTTTGTTTGTTGGTTTTTTAAAGAGTTTTTTAGATTTTTGTTCATTTTTTAAAGATTTATTAAATTTATTTATGCATACAAGAACTGGGGTACAGGCCAGAGATGCGAGGGTTGAGAGGATTCACCAGAGACAGACTGGGTTACAGAATGGCAGACTGACTGAAATCCACTGCTGAGGGGAGCAGTAGGTGGGTCAGGAGGTCTGTTTGGCCATGTGGGTCAGCTCCCTGGCTGGGGATCGAACTCATTGCTGCGGTGGATGCGGCCAGCCTCATGGTGCTGCATCCTGACCCCTTGAACTACCAGGGAGGCCCCTGAGTACATTGTTTATTTTGAACAATTCATAAGTTTTGTTTATATTAGTAACTTGGACCTGAGAATTTAGAATATTTCACTGGAACAGAGCAAAAATTAATATCTCAGATATCTAAAATAGTATAGGTTTAAGGAAAATAAGCTATACTGTAGATCAAGTCTAAAATTTATGTCTGACTCTTCTCAGATTTTCAGATTGTTATAAACTGGACATTTGACTTAATTTATAGATCATTCTTTTCAGTTCACTCATAGGAAGCTGTGGAGTTCTATTTTCCATTGGAGAAAGTTTAAGTAACAAAAAGATTTGCTATGTCCTAGGATAAAAGTTATTTTATTTCACATTAACCTCATCTAAGCAATTCTTCACAGAATTTTTATTTAAAGATTTATTTGTGCATACAGAACTGGGGTACAGGCCAGAGGCTCAGGGGTGGCAAGAGGCTTCACCAGAGACAGAGAGGGGAGCAGAACAGGCAGATGGACAAGTACATCCCCTCTGGGGCGGGGAT